GACACTCGGGGGGGCACACTTAAATCAAGACACTTGCGGGACAAAAAGAAGGGTTGGTTGGTGGCGGGGAAAAAATAGAAAAAGTCGATAATTCCTACCGCCATGGCATAGCGCCTACCAACCGATAATTCGGTGCCCCTTTTGCGAGGTGGTGTGCTGGGGGGCGATTCCATCGCTAGAGTGAGTAGTGGGCCGGTAGGGTACTAATATTAGATGGTTTTGAGAATTTTGTCGAGAATTCTCAAAAAAAATATCAAAATATTTTCCCAAAAATATTCCCAAAACAGGCCAAAATAGGGTATATTTTGACCAATATTAGGTACAGAAATAGATGTTCGTTTTTTTTTTTCTTTTTTTCTATCGCTTCGTCTTTGTTATATATTTCGTACAAACCCGACTATGCTACCATCACTAACACGGTTGCACCCAGACAATCTATTGCATTTAGGTACCCTAACTTATGATACAGAGGAAGTATGGCATTTTCTTCCGGCACCATCTTCTTCGTGCTCTTTCTGTTTTTTATTGTGGGTCTGATTCGCAAGGTGCCCGCAAGCAAAAAATGAAGATTAGTGCGCATGGCGAACACGGAGTCACATGCTCTAGACTACAGCAGTATTGCCACAATTTTTTGTCGGGTCCGCTCGTATCCGCCCAGGACTTCACGGTAAACGGAGATGCGGAAGATGATCCAGACCGCGATGCGGATTCCGATTCGCCCGAGGATATGTGGCGCGACGTACTCATCTACGCCGTCGGTAGGAGATTCCCCAACGATGACGTCGCGCGAGATTCCACAACCATAGTGTCGCTGTTGTAAAGTGTGGGCGGATTTGTGAAATTCCGCAACAATGGCGTCGCTGTGTCGATGTAGGCAGATTTGTACATACTGCTATTGTCGTTATATTTCCTTGACGTGATTCACATCGGAACCCATCCCAAAGCTGTTCTCAAGTCTCCACAACGACGAGATCACGAACGTACATTGCCAGGAAGGTGACGCATGCAACGGGAAAGCGATGGATGAACAAACGGGCAGAGGGGTAAAGTTGCTCGCTGTTATTGTGACAGAATTGTTTTGTTGTTCGCTGATGACGAGAACAAATGGCTAGTCGCCGCCCGTATGCATACTTACCCTTTTTGCGTGTTTGACTTTCAAGGTGGTCATGGCCACTGTGGTTATGTGCGGCGGCAGCTCCGGTCGCAGCTCCCGCTCCCCCCCTACTCACCCAATTTATTCATTCTCGTCAATGTCGACGGCTGTTTTCACTCCCTGCTCCATCAATCAGCCAACCGGGAGCCCACCGAAAGGGATGGGGGATATGTTTCTGCGATAGACGGCCTTGTGATTCGCAATATGGCGGTTACCAACGCCGGTGGCGAGTGCATCCGCTTGCGCGGTGAGCGAAGAAGCGACATGCACGTTCTCGTGGCACTTGCGGTATCTCTCTCGCAGGCGAAATGCAGTACCACATATTTGGTTGAAGCGCATTTGTTCTCGTGCCAAGTGGTGTTACGTGTCGTTTTTCCTTCTTTCCATGAAGCCCGGTTTTCTCCAATCCATCTCGCGATGAATCTGTAGCGATAGACCCCTGACTGTCAGAGTGAATTTTTGCACAGGCGGCACACTCTTGTTCGTATTTCAAACCCTTCTCCTTTCGGCTGTCTTGTTCCCCCTCCATCAAACACGCGGCCGCTCCTGCCGCTGTCCGCGTTCCCCGCCAAGACCACGTGACGTACGCCGAGGTGTACAGCAACTACATCATCGACTGCGGTAAGCTTCAGGCATTGCTTCTTCCAACGCCGCAGCACAAACTCCACCCGATTGGCATATCGCTGATACCAGACCCAGTGAAGCTTGATACCTGAAATATTCTTCCCGTGTGCTATCACAGTCGTCGCTCCGCAACCTTATTTTCCTTTTATTTTTATTGCGAATATCATAATGGCAGTCGAGTAGATTCTATTGTGCCGGGTCGACAACGCTCACTCAGTGCAAAGGGGATGATCGCACCACGTTGGGTCAAATTGGTCAAGCATCCTCGAGGGAGACGGTGCTTGCAATTGTCTCTGGAAGTAAAAGCACCTGAAAACATATTTGTCATTCGTAGCTGCCATCCGTTGCAAGGAAGTAAGCACCAGATGCCGAACACCCTTGGCAGGATGTAGCGCACCTTTCACGCGACTCGCCGCATACCACACGGCGCTTCGTGCTTGGTGATGTGGAAGCCTGGTCCATTGAGAACCCGGCTTGCTTCGTCCCGGCTTTGTTATAGGGAGGCAAGGTCAATGGTCTAACGACTACGGCATGCACGACAATAAGAACCCCCGCCCCCCCGTTTTCGCCTCCCGACTATTATTCCGTTACCGCTCTCGTACGCCCAGGCATCTACGACTACAGGTTCGAGTAGCCTAATTGCGCTGAGGCTCGACCTCAAGCGGTTTGAAGGTCCCTGACCTCTCCTGCGATACATCCACTGAGATTGCCACGCGTTACGTGTTGCCGTGGCGGGCCGGGGTGGATTGGTGGGGTAAGGGCTACACCCGGTGGAGGCGGCCGGTCAAATGCTGTTTTGTCTGGTGGAAAAGAGAGGACATCCGTCCTGCCTCGACAGTCCATTTTCTCTGTCTCTCTATTTATCTCTAATGTAGTTTGTAGCGTGTCACACCCGCATCTCGCCTGTATTGCTGTATTCTGTTACTTACCTCTCCCCTTTTTTTTTGCGTTAACCATGAATGGTTGTCGAGCAGGTTATGTTGTGCGCGGTTGAGAAACCTCACTCCGCGCAAGGGGGATGATCGCACCACGTTGTGTTAAAATGGTCAAGCACCCTCGAGCCAGTTACACAGTGCTTACAAATATCTCAGGAAGTGAAAGCACCAGAAAATAAACTAAGTCATACGCAGCTGTCATCCGTACGCAAGGAAGTACGCACAAGATGCCGAACACCCTTAGCAGGATGCAGTGCACCCTTCATGCGACTCGCCGAATACCTCACGGCGCTTCGCGCTTGGTGATGTGAGACCCTGGTCCGGTGTGAACCCGGCATGCTCCGTCCCGGCTTCGTAGGGATGCGATGTCAACGGTCCAACGACTACGACATGCACGGTTATGAGTCGCCCCCCCCCCCCCCCCCCCCCCCCCCCCCCCCCCCCCNCCCCCCCCCCCCCCTCCCCCCTCTCTCCCCTTTCGCCCTCATCCTCCTCGCCATCCCCTTCGTCCCCCGTTCCATCACCCGCACTTCCATCCACCTGCAGGGAAGACGGCGACGGCAAGAACGGGGAAGGTGTATGTGAGTGAGACAAAAACGTCGGGTACTCTATTCGAGAGGGATTCCCTGGGCAGGCGTGCGGCTGCAGTCAGAGACAAGAACTGTTGCGAAGTTTGAAAATTGGCGGTGCCTTGAAAACATTGAGATTTGACCTCTGCGCGTATCGGTCAAGCGCATTGCTTCATTGAGAGTCCCAACGATGTTTTCCTATGTGTTTCGCCGGACATGCTCGCTTCATGCTTCGGTTCATCATAACGACCACGCGCCTTTTGAGAGTGAGCAAATGTCCCCAGTCGTAGAAACGTTTTGGAAAAACTGCCTATATCGGACAAGTGTGTGCTTCGACATTGACAATGTCTCGCCTGTGACTTGCTTTGATGGTCGACACGCAGATGTCGGAACCTCGAGCAATCAGTGGGACAGTGATAATAATTGGGATGACGTACCAGACGTGTGCATGGGCAACATCATCCGTGACAACTACATCAGGACTAGGGTAAGGGAAGAAGCACCGAAACTCGCCATCTCCATGATTTTCCCGTGCCAGCACAAGTGTGCCATCGCTTTGTTAGGGTAGGTCATCACACATCATTTTCGAGCTGCACTCTGGCTTAGGCCATGCCAAAACCGAAGCACACAGCGTAAGGTTGAAAAGATTAACGCAACGATCATAGCATTCGAAACAAGGTGTGAGATCTCAAATGGGCGGGCTGGTTCAGAATCGAATCGAAGACGGCCGGGCACTATTGGTTGCCGGGCTCGAGCTCGAACACGACGTAGCTCGAAAACGACGCGGAGCGAAATTTTCTAGCCGAACGGTTACTGTTTGTGGTTGGACTCAGCTTGAACTTGCTCGCAGAACAGTTGCCTATTTTGGCTAGATGCGAGGCGAGTTGGAACGTAGGGGGGGGATGCCGAGAGTCTCAACGATCTGCCGAAAGGGCAATGTACTTTGGGCAGCAAAGGCGGATCCTTGCCGGTTACCAGAACTCCGCCTTGTCGGCACGACCCCATGTTCGCTTTGTGGTCGCTACTGCTGTACCACCTCCATCAGGGTAATGAAGGTATTGACGTGAAAGAAGGAAGCGTTGACACCCTCATCGAGTACAACGAGGTGTACATGCAATACGACGACGACTCCGGAGGTGAGTCGAAGAGGCGAGAATCGAGAGATGTATTCGCTCTGCTTGTTAACGCCACGGTTCTCGGTGAGGCATGAACTGGTGTACAAAAACGGAACCTGTACTAGCAAGACGTTCAGAAACCGTGGCCTCTTGGCACGAAGCGCGGAACTGTGTGCGCTGCAGACATCGAGAGCCAAAATGGCATACCGCATGTTGCATGACATACACACGCCCTGATCGATTTCTAAAGCTTGTCTACGCCATAGCCGTAGGCGTGGCGGTGCCGAAAACGGCGGGGTTGGACCCGTCTCACCAAGAGCTTTCCGAAATCGTACAATTTGGTTGTAGCACCCTGTTTGTCGCAAAGTGATTCGAGCTTTGAAAACCGACCGGGCTGTGGTGTTTATTGCACCCTACGTTATGCACGACCTTCTGCGGCGACCACCGACAGATATTGTCTCGCCACGAATTCACCCCACGAAAGGCGATATTCAAAAGCAGGGTATTTCGTGACCTGTTCCTGTCGAGGGTTTTAGCCGCGAGATGTTGTGATGCAGAAAAAGTTCTTCATTTAGCATATAGGTAGATTTGTCGCCCGTCTTGTATTTTCCTTCCAACGATCTTCTTGCTGGTGGCGGTCGGTTCGAGGCGAAGCAGATGGCAAAATTCGACCCGCAAGAGGGTCCTTGTCTCGAGGAGAATCGATCGTTCTGCAGTCCCTTTTCACGAAAACGTCTCTGTATCCTAGGTAGTCTTTGGGGCCACGTGCACACGGATGACCCCTTCGTTGGCTAAGGCTCGATCACCTGACTGGCAGATATAGCTGATGGGGGTGATCGCGAGAATATATAGCCGGTGTGCATACCTGGGATGCATTATATCACTGCCTCACTCGCGACAGGGTAAAATCTCGTTGGCACAACTGTTGATCAGCCGTGCGGCACTGGTTGATATGCATCCGTGTTTAGCAAAACCTAAAATAGGTATTCGTCTTCTCTGGGCGATGCCATGCACACTGCAAGGCATTCCAGAAGCATGAAGGCGTGTTCCCACAGCAGCACAAGCGTTCCCGGTAGCGTGGAGCACGTCCGCCTCAGATGCAGTCTTTGCATCAACGTGCTGCGGCGGGCACTGAAGCAATCGTGAATCACACAAGCAACAGCAACGACGAAAATCCCATCGTTTGTGGGCAGGCATCGGAAGCCGTGGTGACCGGAGCATCATCCGCTACAACCATATCGAAGACACGGACGGCGCGGGTGTCCGTCTAGGAGGCCACACCGTCGACGGCATCGAGTACGGCAAAAATAACCAGGTGTTCGTGGAACCTGGCCATGCCGAGAATCCTAACTGCATGCGATCGCAAGGCGCCGCATTTTCTCAAACACGTGAACCGTTTTTTTGTTGAAACTCAATGGCCATGCCAAGGAAGTCTCGTCCGAGGAAGACATCACCTTCGTCACGGGGGTGGGTGCCTGCCAGCAGAGAGCTACACCGTCACCGAAAGGCAGACGGTTCTTTGAGGCCCATCCTCGTGGCGGTTATACGCCCTAAAAACGCGCCCTCGCGCCACCTGTCGACGGCGCCCCCGGGGCCCCCAGAAAACGAGGGTGGCATCGCCTCATGAACGATTTCAGATGGATGTAGGGGTTTCGAGCTGGACCCTCTTCTCACGCACTGAATTTGACGAGATGAGATATGGTCAAGCAAGTCGACATTCAACAGCAGTGCCTATTTTCCCAACTCATAGGCAAACTCCTGCCCCTGGTTTCTTTTCCGCTGTCTAACTATCCGGGCCCCTCGCGCATGCAACAGGTATACGGAAACACCATGGTCGACTGCCGGCACTCCGCCGTAAAGGTCATGGTCGACCCCCAGGGTCAGATCTGCGACAACGACGTCACACTTCCTGATGACATTGATGAGGACGACGTGAGTATTGAACCCTGGGTTGGCGACCGGTGTTTTTCCTGGCCTGTTTTCCTAGTGGATGCAATCCTCAAGTTGGTGGTGGGGGGGCGTTACGGGGATCGGTCATGATCACTTGATGGAGCGATTCCGCGCGAACAAATCAGACCACGAGAGTAGGAGACGCTTTTCTAGCTTCTGAGGTTACCACCGGAACCTGATGGGTGTTTCGAACACGACACAACACCGGATTCCTAAATGAAGCAAGCACCAAGAAGGGCGTAGGAAGTGGCTCTGATAGAGGAGTACAATGCGGTGCCGCCTTTCCGTCCCCGCTGAAGCACTTTCGTCAAAGGTTGATCTGGCGAACAAGCAATGGAGCGCGCGCCTCTTCACCATTCCTCTGGGCTCCGTTTCTCTCTCTCTCTCTCTCTCTCTCTCTCTCTCTCTCTCTCCTTTTCTCTCTCTCTCTCTCCTTTCTCTCTCCTTTTCTCTCTCTCTCTCTCCTTTCCCTTGGCACTACCAACGCAGTACGAGTACTCCGGAGGAGACTTCTACTACGACCCGTTGAAACCCTGTGACGCTTCGCCCTCGCCGGAGCCCGGGCCAACCCCTACACCGGTAACATCGATACTCCACAGAATGAACTAGGGAACCGAGACAGTAATGCAGTGGCGACAGCGCGTAGTGCGTTTCCCTTGATTTTCTGGTGCTACCCATTCCATGGCCGATGTGTTAGAGTTGGCCGTTCGATATTCACCGGGGGTGGCACGATTTGTCCGCTGTTTCTGATGTTCTGCATAGCACCACGACCCCGGAAAGGTATTGGAGCGTGCCGAAACCAAATCGACCGCTGTTTGGACTTACTTTTTATACAGAATTGGAAATACCCGCATCACCAGGCCACAACTATTCCTTATTGTTCAGCTCTGTTTGGATAGGTCATGGTTTAGTTTGAGCTGTAGCGTCTACAGTAGTTTTTCAGGCAGGTAGATGCACAGGACGGGATTTGAAGCCTGCGAAGGCATGTTCTTACCGCTTCACCCTCTGGCGTGGGAAAAAGGGTCCGGTTTGTGCGCGTGTGTGTGCACTTGAGGGCAGGATATGTGCCAAGCTCTCCTCGGGTTGAGAAGGGAGGCGTACGCGCCTCAACATATTTTCTGCCGCCAACCGCGGGCGTTGGCTCTTGAACCAGGGAGGCAACAACCATGGGGTATTTATGTACGTAGGTAAAGGAGAGTGCTGCGCTTAGCGATCCATATCACAAGAAGTGTGCGGACGGCAACGAACTAAAAAACTAACCCATCACACCTATCCTCCCCCCTCGGCTTGCTCCTCGGCCGGGGCCGAAATCGACCTAGTGAGTCCCTCGTGGGCGAGAACCAGGCCACAACAGATAGTAGGCGGGTAGTGTCCCGAGTTGCAACTCGCCGCACGATGGCTCAGCGTGGCGGTGAGGGTGCACGGACGGTGGTAGTGGCGAGAGGTGTGTATGGACACTGTTCCCGCGGCAGTAATGCAAAGCGGCAAACTGCACCTGGCAACCACCGTCGCAGAAAGCGTGGCCCACGAAGCTGGAGGAGTAGAGAGATTCGTAAACACCACGTCAGTTAGCACTGCTCGCGGGAGAAGGAAGACAACCGCGGGCACCGCGGGGAGGGCGTGCTGCGCCCTCATCGTCAAAACACCACCAACCGAGCTCTGCAGAGATGATTTGGTGCGAGGAAACTCGCCGCTCGGAAAATACGGAAGAAAGCACACCCGTACCGCGAGGCGGACCGAGACAGACACGAGACCGCAGCGGTCGTCAAGGCGGCTGCGAAGAAGAAAGCACGAGAGGGCGACCTATCGTTCGGCACGTTCAACGTACGCACGCTCGCCTTCAGCGGTAGGAACCCCATCGGTTACAACGTGATGACGGTCATGCAGATTTGTTCCGCGACCGGCCGTGATGTGATAGAATTTCAGGAGACCCGACGAGAGGGGCAAGGTTCAATTGCACACGACGGGTACGTGATCATCTCGAGTGGCGCCCGTGCTGGCACAAGGACAAGAGGGACGTACACGGTGTGGGCATAGCGATCAAGGAGGCCATGGGAAAGTGTGGGCGAGGAGGGTAGGACGGTGGAGTGCACTAGCCCCAGGCCAATGAAGTTGCGTCTACGAATTGGCCGCATCTGCGGAGTAACTTTCGTGGTGAGGTACGCCCCCACGGAAACTGTCCGGACCACCGCTGGCGGTGATATTAACGCCAAGGACTCCTTCTGAACCGCTCTCGACGCAGCGATCCGGGAGGTTCACAGCCGTGACCATCATGCGTCAGACGGACCGGCGTTTCGTGCGTAATGTCTCCGTTGAACGTGTCGACTTCAAGATTCTGACCACAACCTCGTGCTTACGACTGTCCGCCTCCCCCCCCCATGTCGCACCCAACCAACGAGTATGGGGGAACCGCGGAAGCAGCCGGATCCGTATCGACCTCGAGCTGTTGAGGAAGGACAAACACCTATGGGTCGCCTTCCAAAACAGGGCCTCCAGCCGCCCTCCGCTCACGGCGCTCTGGCGGCCAACGGGAGAGACCGCCGCCGAGCTGACCGCTATGGTGATGTTGGCCGCTGCTGAGAACGCGCCGCTGGCGAGGTGCGCACGAGGGCAGAGAGGCTGGTACACGAGCGAAGCGCAGCACGAGATATCCGAAGCGTCCAAGGAGATTAAGGCGGCCCAGCAGCAGCTGCATGGGGCCTCAAAGAACAGCGCCTTCGAGGCGACCCTGAAGGCGATGCTCAAAGCGGCGCGGA